AAGGTTTGTACTGTGGTCAGGCAATTGCATGTTTAAGGTCAATCTGATGACGTCTGTTTACGGTGCTATGCATAGCGAACTCGCTCAAGCCCTACGTCTCCTCGCTCGCCTTTCTTACATACTTGGCGATCCCGCTGAAGCTGTAGCCCAGCAACACCGTGCAGCGCTTATGAGTGAACGTTGTAATGGCATCGATCATGCATATACAATTATCGAATATGTGAGTTGAATGCATAAATGACGCTTGATGTCCTTTCTCCAATAACGAATTTCAGATCAACCTTGCCCACTTTGCTTTTTCAAATCTCTATATCCCCGCAGCCCTTAGACTTCTCTATCGAGCTAGATATCTGCTACTCATTGCACATGGTGAAAACCATCCTTTAATGGCTCAGATTGATGTCAGTTTTTAACAATCGATTTCACAGAATTTTGTGGATCACAGCGCTCTTCATGTTTAGGGAAATATCGGTGTAATCCTCTTTGCGGTTCATGAATTCGATGCTGCTCTACGCTTCTTGCAATCGGCGGAAACTGCTATGGCAGCCAATGGGGAGCCAAAGCGTCTCAAGGTCAGTTCGAGTATCAGATGGCTCTCGATAAATTGGCTTTTATCGAAGTAAATAACACACTGCTGCAGTCTGCACTTGTACAACACATCACCGCTCGTGCTCATGCATCGCGGGGAGACTTCCGAGCAGCGCTTGCAGCAGAAAAGGAGACCTATTCGATTTATAATGGTCTCTTTGGGCCGGAACACGAAAAGACCAAAGTACTGAATCTTGCCTGATTTTTGCAGGAGCTGAAGAGAGCTTAATATGTGATTTACAGGAATCAAGCGAATATCTCAGCCAACTGACTATGCAAGCTGTTGCCTTCCAGAGAAAAGTAATGGATGCTACCAAGGGCAATAGCGTCGGTCCTTTGCTTCCAACGCAGGTTCGTGCCGAGTTTCGTAGTCATAATTGTGACGTATATGTTTAGTTTGTTAATATTTAGCATGTGAGTGCTTGAATTGTTTGATTAAACGTTTCGTTCCCATATCTATTTTAAAAGATACTGGTTAGAACTTATCCACTCTTGATTTATTTCCAGCTTCCTCAGCCGTCACTGTCCTCAATCCTCGATGTCCTGAACATTCTCAATGGTATAATCATCATCTCAGTTGCTAACGTGCCATCAGCCATCGAGCCATCAGAAAATGGAGAAACAAAAAATACAACTGAATCTTTGGGTATGACCGATGAAGCTCTCGACTGAACGTTGAGCTGCGCTGTCGTACCAAATTCTCTGCAGCTACCAGTTTTTTTTCCAATTCACAAGTTCATCAGTATTCCTTAACGCTGTCCCACCTTTCTCGTCGTAGCTAACTGCTTCTATCCTCTCATCATCTCGCTTTACTATCGTCGGTACTATGAGAGGAAGTTCTTGTAATTGTAATCGAAGCTGGTCCCAAATTAGCAACTTTAGTCGAGATTAGTTAAGTCCATTTTTGACCATTTTGTTGGTTTTTTTTTTCAAAGATTTGTTAAGCGTTCCACTTACTTTGTTGTTGACGTGAAGTATAGGATGGATATGCTGTAGTAGAATATCTTCATCATATTTAGTAGGATAAATTATAGGCAATTAGTAGATCATCTAGGTTAGGATACCGTTTTGTTAGATTTATTTACATCATGTTCTAAAGAGTTTAGAGTTAGGACCGTTTGTTTGTTATTTGTTATATTTTGGAGAGTGTTAGTCATCGTTGGTTCTTTTTGTCATATTTTTGCTCAGATTGTGGAATCTTTCCATCCGAACTTCTCGCTATAAGCTCACCTATGGCATCATATAATTGTTATACCCGCGTTTTGATGAGCATTTACGTCTTATTCTTTTCCTCAAAATCACATATGCAACTGTAAGATGAATGATTTGAGAGATAAATGTAGGATAGTTTGAAAGTGTTGAATGTTACATGCATGTGATGAGAATGAATAGTACAATAGTTTCCGCCGACCCTAGTATCCTTTCTTCCACGCAGCCCTTAGTTACTAACGACTTTCGACGCAACTAGTCGAAAATTCACGAAGTGTCTTCTCATAGCAACCGCTCATTGATTCTTTCAGTGTTCGGTTCTTGTTTGGTTGCTAATCCTTCTTTTCAGTAGTAAGATCACTACTACTTGCTCCCATTTGCATAATTTTATTCAAACCAGAGTGGGTGGCATTATCTTCGAAAAACGATTACAATTAGCAGTTCGCGAGATGTCTTGTTCTCTGATTTGAAGTTTTGCAAGAACTGCAGGGTCAACTGTTAACAAACTTATTTTCGAAATTCAGTTCGTCCTTTCTTCCCCTATATTATTCCTATAGATATAATAGTAACAAGCCGATGAATTAAATATGCTTTAGTCCATTATGGGTAAGGGCGGAGGTGACAATGTGGTTGTTGCCGTACGAGTTCGACCATTCAATGATCGTGAAAAGAGCCGAAAAGCTCAACTCATTATTGAAATGCCTGATGGACAAAGGACATGCATACGGTAAGCGGAGACTACTTTATCGGATAGTTCAATAAAAATTGACTTTGATAAACGCGAATAATGACAAAGATCGATTCTTGAACAAATTGTAAATCAAACTCAAGATCTTCAAAAGTAATTGTAAAAGATATTTCTTTGGTAACTTAGACATACCCAGTCTACGTGGTTTTATTTTTGAATCAATGTAGGTGAACAATGACCTCTGATTATGCGCTAAGAGAATGGCCTTTGTGGATGGAAGAGAGTAGAAATTTATGTACTTATATCTAATGAGAACTTTCTACCCTTGATAGGAATGTGTTTTCACTTCCACTTCACGTTAAGTGAGAGATTCCAAGACGCTAAAATGCTGTCATAGGCTGAATGCCATCGTCTCACTTTACGATCATACTGTACAACTTCATTCGAATCAAAAATACATGAACGCGAATTGATTATGAATTTTGACACTGTGCAGTAATCATGCTACTCACAGATTAACGGATAGAGGATTATTTAGCCCCAATAGGCTCTGCTTGCTGTTTTTTTCTGGTTCTTAATTATTGGAAGTTGGGGCACTGCGATTGAATAGAAGAACTTCAGATTAAGCTAGTAGACACACCATCCTTTACTCAAGAAAATTCGGTGTCTCTTGTTTGTTAAAAGCACGGAAATAGAACAGTCTGGGAGGTTGGACCTAATGCAAGAAATAGTTCTCCACATCGGATAAACCCTAGAATACTTTATTGCTGATTGTCTGGAAGATTTTTATTCTGAGAAAAGGCGAGGTTTGCAAAATTTGATTTCTGAAGGAAAATATGGCTTGGAACGTACAACGAATTCCCCTTCACTATTAACAGAAGCTCTGGCAATCGAGAATTTCTGTGATCCTACCTTATGAATTTATTTATCCAACTATAAAGTAGTTTGTAAATGTAAATGATTGTGAAAGGCACCCTATCGACACTAGCAGCTCTCCTAAAACTCTTAAACTTTTGTCAAGCTTGAAAACACCGATATAAAGTGCAAACATCAGGTAAAAATGGATCCTACCTAATAGAGGTGTATAGATGCGTCTTTTGTCAGTTATGCTAAGCCTTTGAATATTAGTAAAATTGGATTTTTAAAAATCTTCAAGTAAGGTTATGGTAGTTATGGCTTTGTCATCCCACCCTGCATGATTTTTGAACGCCAGCGTGCTTAAAAATTATGGTGAATGTAAATAAGCGCTTGAATGAGTAAGAAGCTATTTTAATAATCAGCCTGACATCAACAGCTAGTTTCGGAAATTTCCAAAGTACTAAACTCATGCATTCAACCAAATCTGATCAAAGGCTTTGTTGATATCAGTTTTGGTAGCGATGAGCTAAAAGCGTAAAATTACTGGAGTCCTCAAAATTTCCATTCATATCGCTGTTAATAAAATGGCAATTAAAAGTGCATGGTGATACGAGGATTGAAAACATTGCACCACGTTAGATTTGCAGAAATCAAAAAAGAGAGTCCTCATGATCCAACAATGAAGTTTGCGCTAGGAAAAGCCAGTGATAATTCTCGTGTTAAAAATTCACAACATGTTTAAGGATATCCCTTCCTTGTTTTCCTCATAAAATTTACATGGATTGCACAAGGCAGTCTTACTATCGCCTTGATCAATGCATCCTTACTGCGGAAGATAATAAAAATTCAATGTAGATTGGAGAGAAAGATAGCTCACAGTTGTGAGGATCTTAGTAAAAAAAGACACGTAAATTCCATTAGTCGTGAGATAACAACTGAACCAAAAAAGATCCAAAATCTTCATTTTTTTGAAACCGAAAACCACGTGTTTGCTCGAAACGTTACTCATTGTGGAAATTACAAACGCTGAAAATTGTAACCACTTCGTAAGAAAGCTGTCGTAGGAGTGGTTGGTACATCATAAAGAAGTCCAAACTACAAATTTGCTTGATGGTGGTCTGCTGTTGTTAACAAAAAGGAGGAATGCATGATAGAGCATTACCAAAACTCTTTTGTGAGGCAGTTGGCAATTTTTTCTATCTCCGCCTGCCGTGATCTTAGCTGTTGTGCGAAATATGTTTTTTGTGATGTATGCAATTAAACACGCTTAATTTGTCTAAACACATGTTTTAGGTGAATCGGTAATTGACTCACTGTATGCCCTACTTTAGTTTACATTCAGGTTCTTTGAATACTATTTTGTGATTAGCATATCCAACTCACTAAATAACATTATCATGATGCCATTTCTCGGATTCCAAAGATAGTGTTCTTTTAATTCATGTTCATTTATAGTTGATCATCTTTAAATCTAAATCGAAATGGCTCGTTAAGCTGTAACAATATCTCACAGAGGAAGGACGTTTTTTCTCAATAATATCTAACGCGCTAGAAACCTTTAATGTTTAGAGTTCTTGGATCTCAAAAAGAGCACAAGTGTACGCGACAACCCATCTTATTGAAGAGATGCGGCAAACATTTTGCATTTAACTCCACCAATAAAGCAATTAACATACTACAACATTGTCAGATTACTTGCGTTTCGCATAGAGGTGGACGCAGCTGGCTTTGCAATGCCGTGAAAGTTAATAATGAATTCAATAATTAAACAGACAAAGGGGCATTCTATCAGTTTATTTAATCTTTCTTACAGAGATCCGAACAATCCATCAGACGAAAAGTGGTTTACGTTCGATCACTCCTACTGGTCACATGATGGCTACGAAGAAGGGAAGAATGGTTATCTTTCACCAGTAGATGATAGATATGCTGATCAGGTGTGGAAAAATCTAGGTTGCAAAGGGGACTCAGGACGCTCTCATGCAGGCGTCTTTTCTTGAAAAATTAAAATTAGTAAACAAAAATGTTAATTTTTTGTCATTTCAGAAAAACAAAGTACACGCTTAACGTAGTTTGTTTGTTATTATAAGTTGGTTCAAATGTTAGAAGTAACTATAACAAAAGTTTCAAAACCTATTCAGAAACGCGTGTTTGCTGATTTGGGCAAGGGAGTTCTTGATAATGCATGGGCTGGATACAACTGCTCATTGTTCGCCTACGGACAGACAGGAAGTGGCAAGAGTTATTCAATAGTTGGATTCAAGGGAAACAAAGATGAGACATATTTTTTGAAAAAAACCCTCAAATATGGTTTTTAAGGAACGAAGAAAAACACCAGAAGTCATTTGAAAAATGTTTGAT